ATCACCAACACACACACACACACACACACACACACACACACACACACACACCCTCCCTGTTTCCATTACTCGGCACCGTGTTACATCTTAAGATGAGCTCAACATCTGCTCCTGGATCAGAGGAAATCAAGCCCCCTCTGAAAATAAACTCCACAAAACATCAGCAAATCTTTCCGGAACTATCCGGGATTTATCGGAAATATCTAAAAGATATGAACGACCAGCCTTTAACGGTACCTTTAGATGATGCCTGCGGCTCGAAGTCATCTTTTTCCTGTCGGGGAAACAGGACAAACAGCATTATCAGCATCCTCCAAGTAAATCTCCAGTCCTGATTCGAATTTATCCTCAAATTCTTTCTTTTGCAGTTTTATTTTAAGTCATTTGTTCTACGAATTGATTTTCATTCAGTTTTCCTTCTATTTTTTGTGTCTTTTCTTCCTTTTCCTTTCTTTTCCTTCCTTTACTTCTCACATACTTTTGATTTATTTCTCAGTTTCTTCATTTCTTTTTTGTATTCTTACATGTGTTCTAGTCTTTAGCTAATCAGAATCAGAATCAGAATCAGCAATACTTTAATATACTTTAAATAATTAAATAATACTTTAACTAACCCTAACCCTAACCCTATTTTTGTTACAAACTCCAGATATAAAACAGCAGCAAATACATATATATATATGTCTATACATATATATATACAAAATTCCACACAAAATATAGATAAATACATACATAAGTAACTATATGTATATATATAGGTCTAAAATAAGTTATAGTGATAATGTCAATAATTTAGTTAGAATGGTCCTTTGCTATTTTCATCCTTCCTAACTTCACGTCTATCAGGTATGTCTGTTATTTTTTATTTCTTTTCCTCTTTTCTCAATATTCCAACCTAGTACCCTATAGCTATTGTATTTTTTTTACATGTACACAAATAAACACATTCCCACAGTTAGTGAAATATCTGATGCTTGAATGAGAAGCAACACTTACTCAGACATGTTGGCGTTTCTTTTTCTTAACCTGTTGAAGACACCAAAAAAAAAAAGTAAAGTTCATCATCAGGTTATCATCTGATCTGCGTACTAATGTGATCCGTTCAATGGTTTGATGAACAGCTGAGGGTTCGGGGGCTAAGTTTGGGCTTCGGGGTCAAATATCGCTGACGCCAGACATAAGTCCCTTTACAGGTGTCCGGAGCTGGATACCCCACTGGACTTAACACCTCAATTCCTTACACAGAGCAGAGTCCAGTCCAGGGGAATGTGCCGCGGCAGCATAAGGCCTGCCAGCACACTCACACACACACACACACACACACACACACACACACACACACACACACATATACGTGTTTTCAGTATATATAAGGGCGTATAACGGAAATAGGCCAAATGGGGAATTGCCTTTCCAAAGGTTCTACAGGTCTGAGAATCCCAGAGTTTCCTATCCATGCATTCAGGAAAACATTCCTCTATTGAGATTTTAGCTAGAACACACACACACACACACACACACACAAACACACACATATACGTGTTTTACTTATATATAAGGACATATGACTGAAATAGGACAAATAGGGACGTGTCTTTCCAAAGGTTCTACAGGTCTGAGAATCCCAGAGTTTCCTATCCATGCATTCAGGAAAACATTCCTCTATTGAGATTTTAGCTGGAACACACACACACACACACACACACACACACACACACACACACACACATATTCGTGTTTTACTTATATATAAGGAAGGACATATGACTGAAATAGGACAAATGGGGACGTGTCTTTCCAAAGTTTCAACAGGTCTGAGAATCCCAGAGTTTCCTATCCATGCATTCAGGAAAACATTCATCTATTGAGATTTTAGCTAGAGCACCATTTAGATCACATCTGATTTTTATGTGACATATGGGGACATTATCTGGTTTATATAACTTATGAGGACTACAACCTTTCAAACAGTTATTTCATGTCTAAGTGAATTGTCAGGCCCAGAGAAACACACAATCTTTACACACACACACACACACACACACACACACACACAGCCGGTCAAACGCCACATTTAAGGAGCTAATTGATACTATAAGCTTTCACCATGACTTTACAGCAGGACTTTTTATCATTTTTATTTATTATTTAAGATCAGAAGAACTGAGGCACATCGCAAATATATCAACGTTCAACAGAATGTTACGTAATCATATGCTTTTTTTAAAATCAATATACAAATAACGTATGCAAATCTTTGTATATAGGATTCTCATTTCTCATATTTGTCCACCAAAACTCAAAAGCAAAGTGCAGATCCTCTCTTTTAACTTTTAAAATGGGATCTTTTTCACAGCCAAACGATTTGATGACTATGTAAAAAACCTTGATCATAATGATAAATCTATGGATAAATGTCTCCATCAGCTGTCACTGACTGGAATCTCTCACTAGTTCACTTAAATGCAAGGATATTTAAAAAAAAACCTGTTCGAAACTTACAACATCCATCAAGTTTCTCACAAATACCCACAAAGAGACCCACAAATACGCATTTTCGACCAAATTCAGCTGTGGATGAGATCATCCTCCAGGCTGAGCCCGTCTCATCCGGAGGGATGTGCCACAACGGATCACATTTCCCTTCTCTTTATCAGCCCGGACTTTTCCACATTAACACGTTACCAACTCAAAAACTGACTCAACACGAAAACCGGCTATGTAGCAAATCAATTAGAGGAGAGGAATAAAAAGGAAAGTGGTTCTCACCTGGGACAAGATGGGAAGCCAAGAGGGAGGACAGCAGTGAGAAAAAACCATCAACGGGGTGTATATATATGAGGCTTCGGATATGGACACTGGGCTTCTGTTTATGGAAATGAATAATCCTTAGTCCAATTGGCAAACAAGTGCCTGAAATATCGCCACCCCCCCTCAGCTTCACCCCATAGATCAGCCTTCATCAAGGGGGAGTAACGTTTCATATTAGGACTCAGCTAAGAGCCACTGGGACTCTATAAAAGGGAGGAAAAGGATGAGGATGGTTCACATCTGCTGTAAAAGCTCAGGAAATGTGCATAAATCCCCGGT